CTTTGTGGGCAGGGCTGCGTGGGGAGGGCTGCGGTTGTGGGGGGCTGTGTGGGCGGGGCTGCGTGGGCAGGGCTGTGTGGGCAGCGGCCGGGCTCACTAACAGGTGTTTCACGGGTGCGTGGGAAACGCTTGCTCTAACCGCTCTCTTCTCTCTCCCTGCATGGCGCTGCCTGTGCCAGGAGCCTGCTCTGGACACCAACGGTGGCCTGGCGGCACCCAGCCCCAGTCCCAGCCCCGATGCAGGGGCCACCCCGGAGCTCAGGGGCACCGTTAGCGCCTCCTTCTCCCAGACCTCCGTCTTCTCACACACCGAGGCCTCCGAGCCCGGCCCTCCACAGGGTGGCCTGGGGGCCAAGGCCAGCCCAGAGGGCGCCCGGGACCCACTAGGCCCGAGAGCCCCGGGCTCGAGTCGGCCAAGGCAGTATAACAACCCCATCGGCCTGTACTCGGCAGAGACCCTGAGGGAGATGGCCCAGATGTATCAGCGGGGCCTCCGCGGGAAGGCCCTGGGGGCCGGCCTCCCAGGAGGGTAGGTACTGGGCACAGCTCTGCCCTGGAGGTCAGGGTCTCCTGGGCCCTCGGTGCTCGGGGAGGCCTGGTCAGGCGGTCAGGGCGAGGACAGGGGCAGCTGGGCTCAGTCAGTCGGCCGTGAGCCAGCCACGGCATTGCTTTGGGGGGACGCGTGGGATTGCAAAGGAGGAAACTGAGACTCAGAGTCGGCTAAGCCATGGGGCCCAGTTGTACAGCAGCTAAGTGGCCAGGCCAGGCCTGGATGCAAAAGACTGATTTCCGAAACTCACCCCAGGCCACTTCCCAGAGCGGGACGGCTTAGCTTCCAGCTTTCAGGACCTGTGAAGCAGGAGACAGCTGGTCCCTGACCTGGGGGAGCCTTGAGGCAGTAGCAGGGAAGGGTGAGAGGTAGAAGGTGAGTCCTCCAGGGCTGAGAGGAGTCTGGGAAGGCTGCCTGGAGGAGGGAGCATATGAGCTGTGTAGGAAGAGATTCGGCAATGGTGTGGGGAAACTGAGCTTGCAAGGAAGTAGGACCTCATGGACGAGAACAGTAGTCCCGGTTCCACCCACCTCAGTCTAGACAGGACCACCAGTGAGGAGGAGGTACCATAACAGGGGGCCAGGGCATCAGGAGAGGGACCGAGGGAAAGGAACCCCGGCTCCGAACACGTTCTCAGCTTCTTTAACTCCTGCTTTCCCCCGGCGCCGTCTGCGTGGTTATTTCCAGGGCACGGAGGCAGAGCGGGCTGGGTTCAGGCCATGTTGCCTGCTGGGCGGGTCAGCGTGCCTCTGTGCCGCAGTGGGCGGAACCCGGCTGCCCACGACTCTGTCCTAGCAGGAGGACGTGAGGGCTGCCACGTGTAAGGCGCCAATCTCTACCGTGTCACACACACTCACCGTGTGGCACTGCCCAGCGACCCCACTGGTGAGCAGAGGAGTCCCAGTAGGAACCAGGACAGGCAGAGCCTGCCCTGGCCCTTCCCTCTGCCCTGCCCACCAGGTCACCGCGCCTGGGGACCCCCGGCTCTCAGCTCTTTCTGAGGCCTTGGGTGAAGCTGGCCCCTGGCACTCTATGCTCGCTGGGTGACTCAGGTGACAGATGCTGTCTAACACCCAGGGCTCCCCCAGACAATTCTGGCCTCTTTGCCCGGCCCTAGAGGAGCTGGTAGGTCTTCCTGGGCCTTTCTGGGACAGGACCCAGGCAGGGGGGCCACTGTCCAGAAGACTGGGACCCCCGGAGGCCCACCTGTGCTGGGGCCGGCCATCAGCTCATGGTGCGCCCTCTCTCAGCAAGTAGACCCAACACACCTCTGCCGTAACTTCAGAGGCCGGCACTACCCGCCCCAGAGCTGGCCACGGAAGCTCAGCCGGGGTGAGTGATTTGCCCGAGGTTACACAGCTCTGAGTGGCAGAAAGGACTGGTGCCAGGCCGCCTGACTCCACCGTGCGTGGAGACGGGGGCCCACTGACCATCCCACCTCTACTTCTGGGACTCCCGAGGGGCCTCTGCTGGTGAGGGGCGGACCAGAGCCTGGCGAATGTGCAAGCTGTCACTGACACTCAGAGTCTGGCGGTTTCTGGGAAGGGGAGAAGGGCAGGGGAGGCAGGGGAGGCACTTACCTGAGCAACAACCGACGTGCTCTTCTGGCGATGCCAACAGGAAGGGCAGGAGCCTGCGGCCGGGGCAGGCTGAGGCAGCCCCTGGCAGGCCAAGGCCCCCCTCTGCTAAGTGTCTAACTGTGTGTCTCCCGGCAGCAGGGCAGCGGGTGCGAGTTGCATGTCTGTCCATCGCAGACTTATTCCACTTACCCAGGGCTTTAGCCTGGGGGGTCCAGTTTTGTCTGCACAATCCATTGTTGTAGTGGGCACTGCCATCTTGATTTTACGAATGAGGAAACTGTGGCCGAGGCAGTAGTAATTCACTCAGAGTCACGGGAGAGGCAGGATCAGGATTTGAACTCTGTCCTGTCTGGCTTCAAAGAGAAGCCCCTTCCAGGGACCAGCAGTTAGCATAATGGCCATGTCACTGGACTCCCACGTGGTCGACCGTGGTTCGTGTCCTGGACCCAGTGACTTAAACTCACGCCGGGTGCATGTGTGTGTGTGCCCAAGATCCCGAGAGGAGAATGGAGGAGAAGGGATTGCGGCGTGACCATCCCCCCTGGGGGGTGATTTCTCGCTTTCTGTCTCTCTGTCTGTCTCTGTTTGTCTGGCGAGCGCACGCGCCCTATAGCGAAAACCTCTTCAAAAAAAAAAAAAGAGGGAGAGAGAGAGAAGCCCCTTCCACTAATGTCTCCTCTGGGCAGCTTGCAGCGTGACTCCTTGGAAGCTCAAGCCTTGTGGAAAGAGGAGAGGGGGAGGTGGGGTACCAGGGTGGGCCAGGTATGCCCACAGCCCCCTCCTTCTCTCTGGCTGGCAGTGTCGGGCAGTGTCCCTCAGGCCCCCAGGGCAGGTCTTGCGTCTTGGACTCATCTTCCCCAAGACCGGACTTTGGCTCTTCTCTGAGACACGTCCCCAGTGGAAGCTGAGCAGGGGACAGGAGCCCATGCCAGAGAAGGAGCTGGATGCCAGCAGGGCAGAGCAGTCCCCTCCCGCAGGGCCGACACTGCCCTCTGCAGGGGACACTGGGGCGGCCAGGGCAGGGGCTGACCCTGCAGCTGTCAGCTCTGGCCAAACATGGAGAAGGAGCGGGAGCCCACGCCGGCCTTCCTCAGATAGCTCTGCTGCAGCTATTTTGAGCCTGGGAGGGCAGAGGGGATTGTATCAACTCTGGGACAGAGTTGAGTGTGGGACTGGGCAGGGCCTCTGTAAAGATCACCAGGGTCCTGGCTGCAGGATGACCAGGGCCTGGCCAGCTGCTGTCCAGGTTTCCAGCCAGAGCCCAGAGTGGGCAGATCTGGGCAGAGAGCCCCACCTTCTTCTCCTTCCCTCAGGGTTCAGACAGGGCCTCTGCCCTGCTCAGCTCCTGCAGGGCGTTTGGTTTAATGGAACACTGTGATGTGGGCGGTTCCTGCAGGAGCCTCTACTCCAGGAGGCTGGGCCCCAGATACAAGAGCGAGGGGCAGGGTCTGACTGGGGTGTTCAAGCTGGGTTGCCTCAACTGGGGGCTTTCTAGCCTCCATGCTTCTCCCTGGGCCTCCTTGCTCCCCTGTTCTGCCTCACTGCTGGCCCACGAGATCCTTAAGAGCAAGCCCTGGAGACTGCACCGGCCTCACTACCCTTGTGCCCCAGGAGCGGTGGCTAGGGCCACCTGCCCCCCGGAAGTGAATGCTTCTCGCGGCCGCGCACTCACCCACAGCCGCCCCCCTGCAGTGCCTAGTTGGCGAGTGGGGCTCCGAGCTGCCTCTGTGAACGAGGCTCCGTGCAGCGCTGCCCTCTGGCCTAGAGGTGCCCAGGCCCCGGCTCTTCCTGCAGCAGCCATGGCAGTCCTGTCTCCGTCCCGTTTCCCCCGGGGCCTGTAGCCAGGCTGTGTGTGGGGCTCTCAGGTGTGTAATGTAAGTGTCTGTGAAGGGGCAGGAAACCCCTCCCTGGCCAAGCCGAAGGTGCCAGGGTCTGCAGGGGACACGCTGCGCGGCAGCCTCTCTGAGCCGAACCGGTAGGCTGCCATTGCGGCTCCCAGCTCTCGTGTCTCACTTACGCTTCTTAGCCAGCCCTGGTTCGGCTGGTGCGTCTCCCGACACGGTTCTGAGGATGGTCCCATGTTCGAAAGCCCGGCAGGAGGCCTACTCTGACTGCCTGTCTTCTCTACCCGCTCTCTCCCCAGGTGGTAGCCAACTCTCCGGCCAAGTTAGTATCAAAGGAAAGCATGCGTGTGCGCTCGCGGGCCTGCCCCAGCATGTGCGTGCGTGGCTGTCTGGTGTGGGGAGTGCGTGCGAGTCTGCATGTGGGCGCGTGTGCATGTGTGAGTGAGGGTGCCTTTGTGCCGCCAGGCGGACCTGCATGTGCGTGACGCCAGGGTGGAGTACAGGTGCTGGGGGCTCCGTCCGGCAGGCCCAGTGTTCCCAGTTTTCTGCTGCAGCTGCTTAAGACTGGCAGGCCGGGCTGGTGGGGTGGGTAGAGTGCCACGGCCACCGGGCCTGTGTGAGCCGAAGACCTTCCTGACCCGGCCGGGTCCCTCGGGAGGGCAGGGCCTGCTTTTGCCTTTGTCTGGAGTGGGCCCGTCTGTTGGCTGGAAGAGGCCGATGGGTCGAGGCTGGAGGGCCGTGCAGCCAGCCGGACTCGAGGGGGCCCGCACCGGCTGCTCCAGGAGGAAGTGCAGGCGTTGAGGCACCTGGAGAGCAGAGCCCCGAACCGCCGCCCTGCCGGGGGATGAGGACCTTGACTGAGTCCCTGCAGGCCCACGGGGTGCTTTCACCTTCGGGGCGTCCTGGACTCAGCTTGGGGTGCCGCTGCCTGTCGCTCTGGCTGGTTCCTGTCCTTACCTCCTGCTCCACTCCCCTGACCAATCCGTCCTGCTTCCCCTGCTGTGAGGGGATCTCGCCACGCCTGGCACCCCTGCTGATCCCCCTGTGCAGGGCATGGGAGGTGCCTGCGACTGTGCTGAGCAGACCCACGTGGGGTCATGGGTAGCCCACTCGGGCTTAGGGCTCTGGCTTTGGGAGCTCTGCCCCCCCCCAGCCCTGTCTTGGCCTCCCCTGTGACCACCAGCCCTTTTCTCCTTCTCCCCTCCCCTCACGTGCCCCCCACCCCAGCGCCGAATACCAGGAACGCTTCAACCCCAGCGCCCTGAAGGACTCAGCCCTGTCCACCCACAAGCCCATCGAGGTGAAGGGGCTGGGCGGCAAGGCCACCATCATCCACGCGCAGTACAACACGCCCATTAGCATGTACTCCCAAGACGCCATCATGGATGCCATTGCCGGCCAGGCCCAGGCCCAGGGCAGTGACTTCAGCGGGTAAGCGCCTCTCCTCCACGCCGCCGCCCGTCAGGGCTCCATCTGCAGAGGCCAGGGGGACGCCTGGGCGCCATCCACAGCTTCCTCTCTCACCCGGGCTCTCCCGGCACTTGGCCACCCTCTCCTCAGAGCCTGTGTCCGGGAAGCTTCGGGAGACGTGCAGAGGCAGCTAGGGGTGCCCCAGGGCCTGCAGGAACCTGCGTCTCCCAGGCGCGGCCAGGGCTGGTTCAGAAAGCCGCTTCTGCCGCCCTCTTGCCGAGGAGCACGTTCGTCCCGGCCTTCGCAGCTAAGCCATGCTCGGGTGGGAGGCCGCCGAGCTCCCAGTGGAGAACCCAGTCGAGAACGTGGCTGTGCTTCTGGCTTGGGGGGCTGGGATGGATCGCCCCAGGTGCTGTGGCGGTTAATCCCACTGAGGGCACCTTCCGCCTCTGCTCTGCCCAGGGACATCCAGCCTTGGGATTTCAGATGTCCTTGTTTCCCGGAATGTGCCCATTAGCGGTGGTGGAGCAATTTGAGGGCAGAGCAGGCAAGAGGGCCTAAAGCCATGTGTGGGTGAAAACGCTAAGTGCAGACATTAGTGACCCTCTGCGCGTCTGTCTGTCTCACTCTCCTTTTCTCTCTGCCTCTTCTGTTTTGTTTCTCTGTCTCTCTCCGTCTCTCTGACTCTCTGGCTGTCGTCTCTGTCTTACACACACATACACATGGGTGCAGTGGCTTGTCCTCGGGAATACCGCTGTGTTGACCAACACGACTGGCCAGTTACCTCTTTGGCAGCATCTTGTACCTGGGCCAGATCCGCAGCAACTCCAGGCAAAAAGTCTTAAAATGACAGTTTTACTTTTTTCCGAAGCTAGGAAAACATAAGAGGGCCAGAAGGGTTTAAAAGTCGCAGAGAAGTCCTACAGTGCTTGGCGCAACACCTGTGGCTATGACATCCCTGCAGTTACAGGGTCCTCGCCAGAGGCCTAAAGGTGGCACTTTGGTGTGAACCTCCCTGGCTCCGGGTCTCAGGGGCCTGGTGCCCTCCCGGGACTGCAGTGCTTCCTCTTGGCCACCAGGGGGCGGGATCGCCAGCCCTGGGGCCCTGTGAGCGTCCGACTGCCAGGCTCAGGGCTGCCGCTCTGCCTCTCTCTGGGCAATGTGGATTTCTTTAATCCCATCACTTAGAGTAGAAAATATGTCCATGCCAGGTTAAAAACACAACCATTAGCTCATGCATACCCGGGAAAACAAGGCAGCCTAAGCCCGAGAGCCGGCAGGGATTTCCAGCTCACATTTCTGGCCACGTGTGCCCTTGGCGTGCTCTTCAAGGTGGAAGCTCGGTGGGGACGAGGGCCGCCCTGCTACCCGTGCGTGCCCGCACACCGGGGGCCTCTGTCACTCGGTTTCACCACGAGGGCCCGAGACGGGCACGTGCTGTGCTGATTAATCCCGGCTTCTCAGGACCTTCGCACCTCCCTGCCACCCCTCCCTGCCTCTCCGTCAGCCCGTGAGCTGCTGCCGCCGAGCGGCAGGGTGCCCTCTTGGCCACCGCGTGCTCCCACGTCTGCGTGACGGTCCAGGTCCCTTCCTCACTGACCTTTTCTTTTTTCTCTCTCTTCCTCCTTCACCCCCCACTGCCATAACGCATTTCTGACCCTAACCCCGCTCTGTGCGCCGCCCCGCCCTCCCTGACGGACGCGCACTCACGGCTGGGTTTTCCTCTGCTTGGCAGGGCGTCACCGCTGGCGTAAGTAGACCCTGCAATGTCTGTCCCGTCGTCGTCTGTCTGGTGGCCGGATGGTGTGTGGGTTTGGTGGGATGTGCCTGAGGACCGTGGTCAGTCCACGTTCTTTCTCACACCCACCTCCCTCCGGACAGCATCCCCTGCGGCCCAGACAGGCAAGTCCTGCCTTTGGGTTTGCCGAATAACTTCCCTGCGGCCACAGCGATCCAGGGTAACCGCGCGCTACTCCCAGTGGGGTGGGGCCCAGTGTCCTGGATGAGCTCCGGGGAGGCTCCCCCAGCCTCTCCCACCGGCGCTGGGACCACGTCGACCTGGGTGCCAGAATCCACGCTGGGTAGAATGCAGAGCTGGCAGGGGGCGACTGGCCACGTGGAGGCTGCTGCCCAGGGTCCTCCTGGGAGACAGACCTGCAGGAGCTGGCCCCTGCTGGGACTGGCCACGGGCAGGGAAAGACGAGTCAGCTCTGGGGGCCATTGGTGAGCCTCGCTGTCCTGAAAAGCAGCTGTTCCGCACCTGGCTGCCGGCTTCGTTGCCCCTGCAGCCCGAGTCCCTGGACTCTGCATCTTGTTGGTGTCAAAGCCATGCTAGTGGGTCCCGAGGAGCCCCTCCTGGCGGTTCCTTGAGCCCTCGCGGCCTGAGAAGGAGCTGGAGCTGGGGAGGTGCCGGCGGGCGTGTTCAGGGACAGTGGCTCCCACCTGCTTTCAGACCACAAAGCTCAGTGCAGACGGCCTGACTGGAAGGCTCGGCCTGCGCTAGGGCCCACGCCCTTCCTCCTTGCAGTACCCTCCACAGTGCGTGTCCCTCCTCCTCGCAGCCAGGAGCCAGGACCAGGAGACCTCTCTGCTTTCCTACTGCCCTCTCACCCCTGGCCGCAGGGACTCCTATACCAGAAATGGCCTCTCCAGCAGGGTGTTCCCAGGCAGCTGCTGCAGGCTCCTCCCTGGCTGCTTCTAGAGGGATCTGCTGGTCTTTCCTCTGACCCCATCTTGGGCTGCAGGACCTGCACTCCCCAGGCTGGGGCAGAGACCCGGGTCTCCTTCCTGCTCGGCTGTGTAGTCCACCCTGAGTCAGAAGCAGGGCCACTGCTGAGAGCCAGCTGCCCGGCTCCTCCCAGGGAGGATAGGAGACGTCACCACGGGGGCTCCTCTATCACTGGCCAGCCTGGCAGGCCAGGGGGTGCAGGACAGGTGGGCATGTCGGGGCAGAACCCTCCAGCACAGAGCACGTGCACAGGGCCCTGCGGGCAGAGCAGGCCTTCCCGAGCCTTCCAGTTGTAGAGGGCCTGGTGGGCAGGATGTGGGCAGGATCTGGGCAGCCTAGGTGCCAACTCAGTGGGGCCCCTGCCTGCCGTAACCAGAAGCAGTCGGCTGGCCACTCTGGACCCCAGTTTCAGCATCTGCAAGAGGCGAGGGGTGGGCTAGCAGTCTCTTACAGTCGTGGGCTTGGCGTGTGCCCGCCTTGACCACTGAGAGGGTGGGCTGGGTGGGCTGGACCCTCTGCAGCCCCGTGTCTGGAGTGAGTGGACACCCAAAAGCCGTTGACCATTGCCAGTCTGCGGTGGGATCCCTGGACTGGCAGGGCTCTGGGATTTGTCATCCTGCTCAGCCTCTGGGCACCCACACAAGCCAGACCCTGGACTGCGCCGGGGTCACCAGGTCCTCGGTGTTGCCCTGGGCAGAGGAACTGTGGCCCTCCCTGCAGCTCCACTCCCCAGGCCCCAAGGCCAGGAACCCCAGTGTCCCTGCGGGCTGTACCAGGGTCACCCAGGCCTCTGCCTGGTTTCTCACCCCTCCTCCCAGTGGGACCGCGGGCGTGGCCGAGCTCAGAGCCGCAGTCAATGGCGCTGGCAGATCCTCCTTTATATCCAAAGGCGGGAGGAGGGCAGTGGGGGAGCCCGGGGAGCCTCTGGGTCCGCCACGGCCTGTCCTTACTCCGCACCAGGCTCAGGACTGCTAGGGTGGTCAGACTGACTTCGAGAAGACCTCTCTGCCTCCTCCTTAAAGACAGTCCAGCCAGAAGCAGGGCCTTCAGGCTGGGGCCTTGAGCCAGCACTGGGTGGGGGGATGGAGGGGGTCAAGCCTGCTGGCCCTTCATGAGTGAGGGGAGCCCCTGCCCCTTGTGATGACCACCCTGAGCACCGAGGACCCAGGCCACACCCTTGTCACGGGTTCTCAGCATGTGGAGAGCCACGGTGGGCACCATGCAGCGGGGCACGAGGGGCTCTGGGCGGGGTCCGGGCTGCAGCCTGCCCTCGCCCACACCTCTCTCTGTACCGCAGGAGCCTTCCTGTTAAGGACCTCACCGTGGACAGTGCCTCCCCCGTGTACCAGGCTGTGATTAAAAACCAGAGCAAGCCGGAAGACGAGGCTGACGAGTGGGCCCGCCGGTCCTCCAACCTGCAGTCTCGCTCCTTCCGCATCCTGGCCCAGATGACGGGCACGGAGTTCAGTGAGTGAGGGATGTCGGGGTGGGCAAGCAGGGGAGACGCCAGTCCTGGGCCAGCTGGCAGACTTGGGGCCCGCAGGGGCCAGGCAGTGCAGCCCGCCCCCTCCACCCTGTCGGTCCACTAGTGGTGCCTCCGGCTCAGCCGCCAGCAGGGGGCAGCAGGCTTGTGCAGGACGAGAGGACCTCTCAGGCCACAGCCGGCCTCCTGGCTGCACCACGCCCCCGGCCCTGGACAGAGCACACAGCTTGCGGTTCCCGCGGTCCACGGGCACAGGCTCGGGCAGTGACCGCTCAGGGCCTGGTGAACCTCGGGGACACGATGCCCGTGGAGCTCTCCCTTCTGTCCCCATGAGGCCCCTGACCAGCTCCTTTCGTCCCACAGTGCAAGACCCTGATGAAGAAGCCCTGCGAAGGTCAAGGTAGGTGCCTGGCCTCACCCTAGGGCTTGCCTCTACCCCCACCCTCCTGGCAGTCCCGTCAGACCCCGGGGGGGACCCTCTCAAGTTCCTGCACTGGAAAGCCCTGGCCCCAAAAGGACCCCAGCACATGCTGGCTTGGAGCCACCGTCCTGGGGCAGTGACAGGGGCGGGGACTTGGGGCTGAGTCTCCAGCCCCCAGGCCCAGGTCACAGGAGCGAGGACCCCAGGAGCCCTGGCTCCGTCCCTGGCAGGAGGCAGGGCTGCTTAGGCCTTGGCTGGGCTGTTGAGAATGAGGACGTCTGTCCCCCGCGGGCACCAGGCTGGCCACCTTGCCTGCCCACTCACCTCAGGGCTTGCCCCATGGTGCTGAGGCTGGGCGCTGGGAAGCAGGCACTTGGAAGGCCATGCAGGCATTCCCTCGGGCCTGTGCCGGGTGCCAGCTCCACGCTTGCTCAGAGGGCTGCCCTGCCGCCTCGGTGCAAGGAGGCCTCCAGCAGGGCTGGGCTCCCAGGGCATGGGCTCCCTGGCAGCAGGTCCGAGACCACCAAGCTGCTGTCTGGGCCCTTCAATGGAAGGCATCAGGCGTAACGGGACACGTTGGAGCCCGCTTCCATGGCGAGGGCCTTCCATGGCGAGGCGGGGGCTCGCTGTGCCTGGTACGAGCATTGGGTCACCCAGCCCAGCAGGCCTGGCGCTGTGCAGGGGTGGGGCTGCGAGGGTGCCCCATTTCATGGAGCTGCCGGTGCCTGCTGCCCGGCCATGGCCAGGGCGACCCACAGAGAGGAGGCCTGGCCAGCTCAGGCGCGTGGGCTTCATTCCTGGGCCACTCTTGCTTCATAGCGGGTGCCCGTCCTTGAGCGTGGCCCTCCCAGGCCTGGTAGGGATGGCCGCTGGCCTGGGCCCATGGCAGTTCTCAGCTGGCAGTCCCTGCGCCCGGGTGGCAGACCTGGAATAGGGTGAGGGTGCTCTCGCTGAGAGTCAGGGCCTACCTCCTCGTGGCGAGTTCTAGCTTCCCCTCCTCCCGTGCTCCTCCGCCCGCCGCCGTCTCCATGTCCTCCTCCCCCTTGAAGCCATCCACATCGATGCTTTGGTGAGCAGTGTAGACTTCCCAAAGACTGGAGAGCACACATCCACTGTGAACAGCGTAAAAATCCCAGGCACGGAGCCCCGCCCCATGGTCTCTGCACCTACGGGCTCCTGCCTGCGGTCGCAGCCCCGCAGTGGAGGCTCTGGGCACCCCGCAAGGCTTCCACCCAGGACGAGGGCACCGCCTCCTGCTCCTCCCCTTTCCTGACTAGTTTCTGAAGGGGGTCCTCCGAGGCAGAGCCTCCCACGTCACTGATCCCAAGCAGCCTCTGGACCAGCACAGGGAAGGGGGGAGGTGTGTGCAGAGATTCAGATGTTTGTGACAAAAGCCCAAAGGAGTGACTGTGACCACTAGCCACAGTGGGGGCCCTGGGCTCACCCAAGTGCGTCTGAGCAGAAGGGCGTGTGCGTATCCCCCGGGGGGCCGTGAGCGTGTGCGAGCTGAGCAGGGGCACTGTCCCCATTCCTGTTGATGCATGTCGTTGGCTAAGGTCAGCACCGCCTCCGCACCCTTCTCCTTCCAAGCCGCCTCTTGGAACCCAGCGAGGGCTCTAGGGGTCTCATGCAGGCTGCTCCCGGCGGAGCTCCGCTGCAGACCACTTCCACGTGTGCTAGAGCCCACGCACGGCGACAGCCTCCGCAGCCTCATGGCTGGGCCAAGACCTTCCCCCGTCCCATTGCCCTGCAGCAGGGACATCGGCGAGGACAGTGAGCAGCGTCGGGCTCTGTGCCAGGTGGGGCACTGCCGACTTCACGGGAGGAGGCCGTGTGCGTGGAGAGCCTGCAGACTGCTCACCTCTGGCACCCTTGGCACAGCCGCCTGCCGCCCTGGACCCCTGCAGAGCTCAGAGCCTTGCCCTCTCCTCCATGCTGGGGATCCAATGGCGTATCTGGTATCTGCTGATGCGCAGCTTCCCTCTGAGGCTCCGGTGCCCGAGACAGTAACCTTCCAGGCCCCTGTCTTTCCAGGGAGGCAGCAGCCCTGAGCAGCCAGGCAGCAGCCAAGCGCTCGGCTCCCCTCCCAAGAGAGACCCCTGGACCTCAGGAAATTGTGCCCGCTTGCCTGACCCTGGCGGCCTGGCGGCCTGGCACTCGCTTGCGGGGCTCCTGCAGCTGGTGCAGGCGGTGCTGGGCCTCCCAGCTTCCACCGTCTCTCAGAGAGGTCGCCACTGTGCCCCTCTGACTCCTGGAAGGCCTGCCAGGGCCTCGCCGGCTCAGGCCATTCCATGTTAGGCAGCCGGGAGGGCGACCAGGAGTAAGTCCTAGGCAGGGCTCTGTCCTAGGCAGGGCTTGAGTCCGTGAGGCAGCTGGACCCTGCTGCTGGGCATGTCCGCCCTGGAGGCCCACAGAGGGCAGCCCCGACACCCCTGCCCTCCTGGCCCACTGCCTGTGAGCACTCTGCTCCCGTGATGCCACCTGATAGAGGTCGCTGACCCCCTGGCCGCACAGAGGAGCGAGTGCAGAGCAGCGGTGGGTGGGCGCTGCAGGCTCTCCTCCAGACAGGGAACTCCCCAGAGCCCGGTCTCCCTTGGTCCTCCCCGCACCCCTGCACAGCTGCCCTCCTGCGGCGTCTGGGGCACCTCCCTGCTTCCTGCCTTGCGGTATAGTCCTTCTTCCTGTCCCCGCTCCAGCCCGGGCGGAGGTGGTGGCTCTCCTAGTGCCCGCCCTGCCTGGCCCTCTCAGGGAGACAGGAGCACTGGTGTTCCCGCGTCCCCTGGTGTGCAGTCCCTGGTGTTCTGCCGTCCCGACCAGTCTGGGAACCCGTGGGCTGCAACTCCCCTGCACCTCCCGCTCCTCGCTTCTTCCCTTGACGGGTGGGGATCCCTGACTCTCAGCGGGGCAGGCTCCCTAGACTTGCCAACTCCCCAGGGCCGCCCGGACCCTGTCGCGGAGCATCCAGGACACGCTGTCACCCAGCCACACTGGGCCTTGCAAGGACGGTGTCTTTACAGGCAGGGCTGCGTCTGCCCCTGCAACCTGGGTGGACCCTGCGGGACGGTCCTGACCGCCTCTGCGCCCGGGCTGAGGACGCGTGGCCCTGCCACAGGGCATTTGCTCAGGCTGTCTTCACCCCTTAGAGGGGCGGGTGTGCGGAAGAAAGGGAACGGAGGTGGGTAGGCCGTGGCTCTGCCGCTGCTTCTGGGTGGCTGAGGCCGTTCCCGTGATGTCTCTGGACCTGAGATTCCTGGTGTAAGGAAGGGTTGACCGGGACCAGTGGTTTTCAGCAGCTTAGCCGTGGGCCCTTTGTGAAACAGCTTATGCGGAGACCAGCTATGCGGGTTGTAGAGAGAGCCTGCCGGTCCTTCAGATGCGGGCAGGTGGACCTCCACACCTGGGGGCCCGGGGACCGTTCTGCAGAAATATGACCGGCACTGCCGCATCTTCCAGTCCTCAGAGACCTCACACTGGCCTTCCTGCTCGCTTCGCTTGTTTTTTGCCGTGGGGTGTGTGGGCTTACTGAGAGAAACAGAGAGGTGGGAAGGGAGACATCACCCCCATGAGGGATGGCCACGCCACAGTCCCTTCTCCTCCCTTCTCTTCTCAGAACTTTGGGCATGCACACACACGCAGCCAGCGTGGTTTTCGAGCTGCTGGGTCCAGAATTTGAACCATGGTGGCCATGTGGGAGATCCAAGCCTTAACCACATCGCCTACCGGCCCCGCCCCTCCTGGGGTTTATACTCAGGTGTGTGGGAAACGCCAAGGCGTGCCCTGTGTCCTTCTTCATCTCTCCCAGTAGTAACACTCACGACCCAGTGGCACAGCAGCCAGCCTGATGCCCTCAGTCCCGTGACACAGACTGTCTCCGTGGTCACAGGCTCCCCCTCACCAGGGCCTGGTGTAGCCACGCCCACCTCTCCGGCAGCTGCTCCAGGCAGCCACTAGTCTATTATCAGCTCTCCCTTTCTACACTTCTGTCTTTTTTTTTTTTTTTTGGAGGGGTTTTTGGTATAGGGCGCATGCACTCGCCAGAAAGACAGAGAGATAGCAAGCGAGAAATCCCCTCCTGCGGGGATGGCCACACCGCAATCCCTTCTCCATTCTCCTCTTGGGATCTTGGGCACACACACACACACACACACACACACGCCCAGCATGAGTTCGATCTTGGGCACGCACACTCGCCCAGCATGATTTTAAGATACTGGGTCCGGACCTCGAACCACGGTCGACTACATGGGAGTCCAGCGACATAGCCATTATGCCAACTGCTGGTCCCCAAATTCTGTCATTTTTAAGACCGTTATTTAGGGCTGGCCGCACAGCCTGCTGGCCAAGGAAGCCAGATCCCACTCGGCCAGCTGCAATTCTGACCCAGCCCAGTGACCTGAGAAATCTGTGGCACACATGTGCAGGCCCTGGCGTGCCGCTGAGAGGGACGGATTGCAGTCTGCCCATGACCCACGGGGGTGCCTTCTCTGCCCCTCCTCTTTTTCTGTTTCTGGCAAGAGCTTGTGCCCTCTGGCAATGAAAAAGGAATGTTACTTCTGGGTCGGAGGTCAGGGTGGCGTGGTGGTCAAGGGAGCTGGATCCCACAGGGTTGACTGCACGGTTCACGTCTCAGACCTGGAGGCTCGGGAAGCATACCGAGAGCGTGTGCATGTGTGCCCAAAATCTGGAGGGGGAGGGATGGCAGAGTGGCCGTCTCCCCTGGGGGTGCTTTCTCACTTCCTCTCTCTCTCTCACTCTCTATGGCAAGTGTTAGCACACGGCCGTTCGAGGACTGGCCTCTCTCAGGAGCGCAGTCCCGGGGTCCATCCTGGAGGCGGGCGTGCCATTAGTTGTTCCCTCCTCTTATCGCCGAGCAGCGTCCGGGGGGGAGTGGGGCACTGACTGCGGCCGAGCTGTACACACACAAACGCACTGCGTTTGTGGCTGCTGTGGCCCAGTCCACGCCTCCCATCTGGAGTTGC